AAAAAAATTGTCTGGAAAGGCTATACTAATACTAATCTAAAGTAAAATAATAGTATAATAACAGCAATAATATTAAAACAATTATAACAAGGAAAATAACAATAATAGCAATGTTAACAATAATATTTATATTAATAAATGTAATTCATATAATAATAACAATAATAATAGTAACAATAACATTGATAAATATTAAAATTAATATTAAACAATAACAATAAGTAGTAGTGATATGAAAAACAAAGTTGACATTCATATTACATATAATCATACTAAAATATAAAAAAAATAAATATTACATATAATGCATTGGTTTATGGTGTGATTTGTTATGCCAAACTTAACTGAACAATAATTTAGGATTTATAATTTAAAGTTACTAAAAGATGGATGATAATTTTTTATAGAAGTAAAGAAATTACAGATTGAAAGAGGTAGAGTAACTTGCGTGTGATTTCAGACATATAGACAATTTAATAGATGAACAAAAGCACACAATTTGATAACTTTGGATAGAAAGTAAACGATATTAGAATTAGAATGATATTCTTAAAAAGTATATTATTTTAATTGTCTTGATTTTAGGTTAGATATTTTTAAAAATCTATTGGTTGATAAATTATAAGTATATATAATAAACTATATTTGGAGTGTTTGTAGTGTGTTTGAGAAATAAAATTTTTATTAAAAGAGATTTGCATTTTACTTTTACAATTTATTTGCTTTTAGAAAAATAATGATTTAATACAGCTTTATTGATTTTATTCCAATTCTGAAAAAATGGAATACTGGGTTTGAATACTACAAACAACTGGATACTGCAAACAACATGACTTGGATACTCCATTCATCATGAGTTTAATAAATATGGTTGCAAATTAATTTTTACAAAAATGAACTGAAAAAAAAGCAGTTGCTATATAAAAAAGATTATGTAAGGGAAAACGGGGCAACATGGCGAACGTTTTGAAAGCCCTGAGTTGTTGCAAAACTATAAGTCGTAAAGCCATAATACTTTCTGAGTATGCTTATGTCGTTAAAATTTTTCATTGCCTGCATGAATTTTCAGTTTGCAAATATAACAATTTGAAATAAATATTAAAATAAAAAGTTCAATTTTTTTTTAGGCGCTAAAAGTAAGCTTATGTGTATAAAATTGCGTTAATAATATTTCAAAAAGCCAATTAGTGTTTTAAAATACAAGATGCAAATACAGTTTCGTTTTCACACAATTATAAGATTTTTTGTTGAGTTGTTATATGAAAACCCATGTTGCCCCATTCGCCATGTTGCCCCGCTTTCCCCTAGGTAAGATCCGCAGCCATTATAAAATCTCTGAAATTGCTTTTGAAATCGCGCCATTAAACATAACACTCGTGCATAATTAAAGGTTTTTAGGTCTAATGACAGGTTAGAGGAAGGTGGCAGCAGGGGCATTTGCCCCCCCTCCGCCTAATAATTTTTCAATTAAATAATTTTGAAAAATTAAATGAAAAAAAAACGGTCCTTAAAACTATTTCCAGGTAGTACTGCCCTCCCCCCCCCCAAATAAGATAAAAAAGTTCTAACCCTAACCCTGAAAAACAAAAAAAAAAAAAGGTCCTTAAAACTATTTCCAGGTAGTACTGCCCCCCCCCCCCCTCATATAAGTTTCTTTCCTACGGCCCTGTGCTGTTCAGATTTATGCAGATTCGCAGGTATAAAAATTGCACTTATTAAATGCAAATACTATAGAAGTCTTGTAATATACAACTTTTTCTGGTTGGTATCTTAGTCTTAATGGCAATCAAATGGATTAAAGTATTTGATTACATAAAATCATGAACACAAGGTCTATCAGAGGTTGGAGGAGGAATTTCAGAAGTGGAAATTTAGTGGTTTTGATTATTCTAAATTTAGGGGTTTTATTCCAAATTTAGGTATACTTGTTAAAAGGAAGAGCCTTTGATATATATATATATATATATATATATATATATATATATATATATATATATATATATATATATATATATATATATATATATATATATATATATATATACATATATATATCAAAGGCTCTTCCTTTTAATATAAGGAGATAAAACAAATTGCAATGTCAGGTATTGTAACTTAATTTTTTATTTTTTTTTACTGATTTATTTGTAAAAAATAAATATTTTTTTTTACTGATTTATTTGTAAAAAATAAATAAATATACAATGAAAAAAATTAAATCATACTCAATTTTTTTGATTTGTGGAGATAGAACAAAATAGTTCTAACCTCGCGATATATCAGTGACGGATCCAGGGGGACGGGGATGCATCAAGCTCAGCCCCTCCCACCCCCTATCCCCTATCAAACCTGAAACTCCCAAAAATATCATAGAAATTGAAGACCTTATTTTTTTAGGAGACAAAAATATGATACAAAATACAAAAATATTACAACATACCCCCCCCCCCGCTTTATATAAAAAATTCCTGGTTCCGTCAGTGATATATATACATACATACATACATATATATATATATATATATATATATATATATATATATATATATATATATATATATATATATATATATATATATAATATATATATATATATATATATATATATATATATATATATATATATATATATATATATATATATATATTACATACAAACAGAATGTTACAATATTGTAAAATAAGAAACAATGTTTTTTATTTAAGGATATATAAAATATCCTTAAATAAGAATGGAATTCTAAAATAAAAATCAAGTTCTTAAAATAAGAACAAAAATTCTGAACCTAGAATCTTAGATTTTGCTGTGTAAGCAATAAAAATAATAATACTAAATAATTCAAAAATAAGCAACAAAACTAATATTTTTATATATATGTACCTTTGGTACATATATATAAAAATATTTTACGCTAACTTTTACCCTCTAGTTGTATTTCTATGCCAAGCGCTTGCCAAAAAATTTTAGTTTAAAAAAAATGGCAGAAAAGTTTCCGTTTAAGTTAAAGGAATAGTTTAAAACAATAATTAAAAACGTTAAAAAAAATTTAAACGTTTTTTAATTTTTAAGTGTGTTATAAGGGAAACTATAATAGTTTCGAAAAAAAAATCTATAAACAAAAAAAAAAGTTAACCCATTCCTTCCCGATATTGGAATAAAAAAAAAACAAATAAAAAAATCATTAAATATTTTCAAAAACTAATTGCGAATCGGCGAGTTCATTTTTAAATTGCACACATTTATCTACTAGGAAGTAGTAAATAATTACATATTTATTATAAATTTCACTGTTAACACAATAATTACATTTTTATTATATAATTTCACTATTAACATGCATCCGGCACATCCAAGATGAGATCTTTTTACCTCATTTATGTTGTCAACTTTTCTAGATACAAAAATTGCTCGTAAGATTATCGTATCTAAGTCGAATACATCTGGGAAACAAACAACATTACACTAAATTATTGTTGTTTTTCTCTCCAAGGCAAAATGTTTTTCAAATATATATGTTTGAAAAATATTTATAATAACAAACTCAGACAAATTTGCAAAATAAATAAAACATTGTTCTAAGATGCTGTTTATATATAAACAGCATCTTAGAACAATGTTTTATTTATTTTGCAAATTTGTCTGATTTTGTTATTATAAATATTCACTTAAATGCAGTTATCAGAATTAATGTAATAAAATAAATAGTTTGAAGTGATTTTAAGAATTTCAAAAGTAAAAAATTGTTTCAATACCGTTTTTATGATTTCGATAATGTCAAAATATTTCGATGCAAATAATAGAGATTCGAAAATGAAATATAGCTTCGGTCCCATTTTAATAATTTTCGATCGCATAAAAATTTTTTTAAACAAATTATAGGTGATAAAATATTTCGGTACCGTTTTTAGAATTTCGATAATATAAAAATATTTGGATATAAATTATAGAGTTTCGAAAGTGAAAAACTGTTTCTATAAATTATCGATAATGTAAATATATTTCGATACAATTTTGAAAGTTTCGATAAAAAAAATAATTTCAGAGTTATTTTTAGGATTTCCAAAGTCAGAAAATGTATCGATAGAATATCGTGAATTTCGTAAAGCGAAATTCATTTCGGGTTCAAAATTAAGTAAATAGAAATCGCATCAAAATTACTGAAAAAAATTGAGTTTCAAAAAGTACTTTTTCAATCGAAAACTTAACTTTTGCAAAAGTGAACAACCCTATTATTCAAACTTTTCCCAGTAAGCACAGGACGTTTTTAAAACGTTTTAATTCCGTTCAATTTACGGTCGGACGTTAAAAGAACCAATACAATCGTTTTTAAAACGTTTTTTTGCAAACGTTTTTTTTAATGTTAATTTAAACGTTTTTTTAGCGTTTTTTAAACGTTTTATTTTTTTTTATTAACTTACGAAATTTCTCAGTTAGCTTATGAACGTTTTTAAAACGTTTTTTTTAACGTGATAAAAAAACTTTTTTTAAACGTACAGCACGGCAATATTTAAAAGAGTATGTTTACTCAAATAATGGCGTGACTTTCGATAGATAGTAGATTAGGCGAATTGATTTATTTAAGTAAAAATTATATAAATTAGTATATATTTAAATCAACCAAGTGTTTGTATTGTTTTTTTGTAGAATTAAATTTGAAAATATATTGGAGTATTTTTAGTTTAAAGTTGTATGCCTTCGTTGAAACTAGGTTGTGTTTGTATTTCTGTATTTTCTTCTTTAACTCTAAAAGTTAAAAATAATATCAGTGGTTTTTATAAAGGAATTACTATAGTTAAAAAAGGCTGAAAGGAAAAAATATGATGATTTGTTTCAAGAAAGAGAGTGACTTACTTCAAAATGTCATTTTAAAATTTTTATTCTTTAATGATATTCTGGTGTTATTACCAAATGTTTAGCAGTATGAAATCTATAATATTATATACCATACTATATAGCCTATTTTACTTATAATGTTAATAATCTGTAAAGTAATTTGTAAAAAATTTTTAATTGTAAAATTGCTACATGAGAAGACAAGTTGTTAGATGAAATTCAAATATTCTCTATGTTTGTGTTGTGTAGGTCAAAAAATAATAAACAAAGATGATATTGATTGTGATGACCTAGAGATTCATTTTAAAACACAACAATCTTCATCATCTTTAAATAAAAGGGATAAACATTATGGATTTCCATTATCTCAAGCAAGTAAGTCTTTAGTTAAAAATAATAATCTAATGTTTGTTGTAAAATGCTAACATGACTGTCAATATTAAAAAATATCATTAAAATGATAAGGTTCCAATTTTAACTTTAAATAATCACCTTCATGAAATCCATTATTTCAATATTATTATAACTATAAATCTATGGAACAATCTTTCTTGTCTAATCCGAAATCTGAGAAAAATGCTAATATATATAATATAGCATTGCCACTATTAGGTATTTTACTGTCTATTAGTTTTTCTCTGATTTAGGCTTAGACCAGTAAAGTTGTTAAATTGTTAAATTTATGTATTTTAAATTTATTTACGTAGTTTAGTTAAGACAATGTAAAATTTAATTAGTGTAAATTTGTTTAGACTTTCAATATTATGTGTTGCTTCTCTTAAATGAGATAAAAACCCAAGGA